GAATGCTGAGCAGGCCAGAGAGCATTTCCAGCCCACCCTCACCTGTCCTGTCTGACGACATCCCTCAGGTAAAGTGGCTCTGCCAGGAGAGAGGAGTGCTACGCACTGAAAGAAAATCCTAAACCAGACAGGCTTAGCCGCCATGCCCCTAAAATCTTGCTCCTGCATTTGTTGCTTTTGCCTCAGACACCGTTTGTCATGTCAGCAGCAGAATTATATTCGCAGGCTGTGCCTCATCCATGCTGTGACACCACAGCTGAGTTGCCTTGCCGGAGCAGCCACGCTTGCCTGCCTCCAGCCATCTCCCGGAGGCTCCTGCTCTTACCCCAGATGACCCAGCTCCTCACAACCCCACCGCTGAACAGCATGGGGTGTTAAAGTAAACCAGAAATCACTTCCCTGGTCCTCACCGCACAGGAGCGTAGCTGGCAGTGGCTCAGTAGCTGTTATGTGAGCAAGAGGATGAGAAACGCGGGAGCCGTGCCTTCCCTTCCCGCCTGGATGGCGACCAAAGCTCATTCTCCAGGGGCTAGAAAGTTCAAGGCTTGCCTGCTGGCCACCTTCTCCTCAGCAGCAGCACTTTGTTCAGCCGCCTCTTTTCATAAACTTGGAAGGAATTTCTCCCCACCACTGGGAGTTGGTAAAAAAACAGCCCTCCATGCAAATGTTGTTAGGTACAAACAGAGGCAGAGAGCACAATCACACAAACCTTGTCTCTTAGGAAACCAGATTAAAAAAGAAGAAAGAGAGAAACACACTGACAACCTACAATGCTATTGCTTTTGTCCAGAGGTAGCATAACAAACGTCCATCATAACCACTTTTCTTTGCAAGCTGATTTAGAGATTGAAAATAGGAAGGAGACATGACCCGAGGCATCACAGAATCAAATTCCATCAGTACAATGACTCCAAACTAGATCTCCGCCTGGACACATTTGCCTTTGCTTTTTATTTGCTTCTTTTTCACAGAGCTTGGCTTTTCTTCTTTTTTTCCCCCCTAGTCACTGTCACAGCATCTCCTGCAAACTGAGACACTGAAACCTTTCCAGCTGTAAAGGGTTCCTTGGCAGAGCCCAGTGAATGCTGCTGTAACAGCTTCATATGCCCCAACAGCAGCAGGGACTGAGTGCAGGGCAGGGACCTCTGCTCTGGGAGCCAGCTTCACATCCCAATGGGGTCTCCCCCTTGGAGGAAGCACTGGGTCACATACTTGGTGCCGAAAGTTCCATTTCCTTGGTCTAATACACTCCCTGCATCCGCTGATGTAAGTCAGCACACTTTCACAGCCCTCCACGGCACTGCGGTTGTTCACAGCAATGAAGGATAAAGCTCTTGCAAGCACTCTCTCATCTTTAATGGAAGGTAAAAAACCCACAGAGTAAATACAACCCATCTGCATTTTTCCCAAATGTGGTGATCAGCTTTTTTTTTCTTGCGAGTTTTTCCTAATTCTAGGCCAGATCCAAAACTCATTAAAGCAAACAGAAATCCTTCCTTTTGCTTTAACAGGAGCTAGATTCAGATCCTGGTACCTATAAACTCTGCTTTTTCGAAGAGAGCTAGCAAAGGGCCCCATGCCTCAGCAAGAATCAGGAGTCATGCTGTTAATTATACTCCAAAATAAAAATTTTCTGCTGTCTTTGTTTGCTCCTTTTTATTGCAGCACACTAGCTTAAAGAAAATAAAGCAGGCAGCAACACCTTGGCCTCATGCTAAAACACTGCACGCATGAATCGATTATTAGGGGCGGCTCACTAAAGGCCAAACAAGGGCTGATTTCCTCCAAGTATCTGTGACTGCTTTTCACCACTAAGACAAAAACAACCCTCTAGAGCTAAGCTTGGGGAAAAAATAAACACACAGAAAAGGCCCTCCCCAACTATCAGAATCACAATTGTTCCTACTAACTGCTGGTAAAAGGCAGTTGCATTGGGTGTCCCCCCGGGGGGGGTCGGGGTGCATTGCTGCAACGCAGCCTTGGACGGGAACGATAACCAGAGCAGCATGGAAGTTATCTCAGCGCTGGGAGAGCGCGAGTCAGACACACTGGGAGGTGTGGGGAGCTAAGCAATCATTAGCCAGTTACACAATTGGCTACTATTTCTCTGAAGCTTTAAAAAGTCTGCCAGCTCCCGGGCTGTTTTAATGTCTTGGAAAAGTGGAGGTCTCTCCCTCACGGTTTGCCCTCCTGGAAAACACAAGCACGGGCATGCGGATTAGAGGTGACAGCCTGTCTGCATGTGACTGCAGCTGCGGAAGGAGGAAGCTCCCACTGCCCCAGCTGAAAGGGTAGCAAGCACATGAAAAACAGACGTTAGCATCACAGCCTTTTGGCAGCAGTGCAGCCATCTGCCCTTTCCTCTCCCATACGTTGACCTTCACTGCAATAAAATGCAGGTGGACACTGCTGATGCTCTTGCTCTGGTCCCATCTCTCCATCTGCTGTAGCACTCCACACACCTCCAGGATCAGCTTCACAGCCCCAGGGTCCTTGCTGAGATCCAGTTCAGACTGTGCCTCCACCCCCACACCAGGAGGATCAGGGCAAACCAAAGACTGTGTCCCTACAACGCTGAGGGCAAGGGGGTCTGCACACCCTGTCCCTCTTTGGGTAGCGAGGATGAAACAGAAGTGCCCAGGCACAGGAGCCACTCTCACGCTGCAGTAGCTTTAAAGTGTTTGCTTAGATTAGAAAAAGAAATGGAGATTAAGTGGGGATTAACTAACAGACACCAGGCTAACCCGGACACAGGCTTTCACTTTTGGCTTTGATTTGACCAGCTAAATCTATGTCCACAGCGTTAATCTACATCCAAAACATGGACAAGAATGCAGTAGGCAATGCTAACCTAAACCCAGGTCTCTCCTGCCAAGCTGTGACAACTGCCCTGCCCACCCTGGGCAGCCCACAGCACAGCATCGGGATTCCCAGCACAAAAGGGCGACGCCAAAACATAAAGATTACAGTTTCCGAAGAAAGGTATTTTCAGCTGGAAATAAATGCGATGTGATGTGTTCCCCACTCTGCACCGCTGGTCCTGGCACTGCTTACACTGGCAGGACAGATGGATCAGGGAAGGCACATCACTCTGCAGAACAAAACCATCCTGCTGCAAGGCACAGGAGGGAGGACTTGGAGGGCAGTGGAGAAAAGGAGCCATTGGAAACAGCAACCACTCTGGTGTGGTGGGTGAGTCAGCTTGGAAAGCACGGGCGATGGAAAGAATTGTGGTTCCTTTGCTTGGCCAGTTCTAGGGCACCTTGTCCAGATTTTCATCTCATCTCTTCCATCCTTCATTTCAAGACATTTCTCCTGCAATTTCATGCCCATTGGAAGCATGGAAGGGGTAACAAATAGACATGCGTCTCCCACATGGTCCCTCCAACCTGGTATGTCACTTGTAAATCCAAGAGGAAAAGCTAGCTGGGGAGTAGCAGCGAATGAGCATGCTTTACACCTCTACAGCATATTTTTACTCCCCTTTGGGCCAAGGCCAACAGCTCTGTGCACTGGGACAGGGAGCAGCACACGAGTCTGGGTGCTCTGATGGGCCCGTTTTCACCCACGTGAAGCTGCTCCATCACAGCAGCAAAAGCAGGACCCCTCTCACCAAACACAGAGAGCAGCAGCTGAAGCACAGGGACAGACCGGCAGGGCTGTGTCGAGGGTGGCTGGGTTTGGGCTCAACAGTACTGCAACGACCCATCCAGCTCTGCTCAGCACATACCCACCCTGGGATCCACCAGAAACTCTGCTCAGAGCCATTTCCACAAGCCTTCAGGCACAGCCACATAGAGCAAGGCAGTTTTCCTTCTGCCAGCTGCCCAGCTCCTGCTCTCAGCCTGAGCAAAACTTGCTGCAGGACAAGCCCAGGGACATGAGCACATCTCCACAAGCAGATTTAGCAGAAATCCCAGCTGGGATGGTTAGGATTTGCCTGCCTCTGAAAGGGAAGGGACAGACAAGAAGCCTTCAGCAAAAGCAGCCTTTTTGAATCCGAAACCCTCCAACTCTGGCTTCAGCTCAGCAAAGGATTTAAAATCCCAGACTTGTCTTCTGTCCTGCATCCTACACTTCACGACCTGACAGCAAGGTCCCATTCAGTGTACGGGAAGGCATCCTGCAAGGGGGTAAGATGCAGGAGAGCCAAGCACTGCCCAGCTGGGCCACGCTGTTCAGCATCTTTCTGATCAATGCCCCCATTTCCATGTAAAACATGCCTGCTCATTCCAGCCTGATCTTCCAATGCACAGCAGGTGCTGAATACCACCACCCACACGCCTCTAATTTCAGGTGACCTGCTTCATAGCTAGAAAATGTCAAGACAAATCAGCGATACGCTTCTGCAGCCTGCCTCTGAGATCCCCGCCTGTTATATAAGGCAGCCCACCCAATTTCCCTCCTGCTCAGCACCGCACGCAAGCAGGCGTGCGGGCAGCAGCACATTGCTCCGCGCCCAGCGGGGAGGTTCGATTGCTTGCACGCCACCCGAATCAGAAATGCATATGCTAAAATCGGCAAGGCAGAGGGGACCTAGCTCTCAGGGGTGCGAAATGGAACAAGGAGCAGCAATGGCAGCAAGGAGCAGAGGAGAGAGACACTTACATAATACTTGTCATCATTCTCATTGTAGGCCAGTTTCACAACACCGTAGGAACCCTAAAAATAAACACAAATTGCACAGTCAGTTCAGCAGCTTCACTTTGTCTCCTTGCTGCTCAAGGCTGTTAGACCATGGCCTTGCACAGGGGGTGGGGGGACCTTCAAGGCCCCAGGCCATGCCTAGCCTCAAGCAGAGTCCGCAGGTGATGTGACCCTGCAGCAAGGTTGTATGGTTTGGCAGTTCTGTTGGAGCCACAGGGCACGGGAGGATTAAGTGTGTCTGGAGGAGCTGAATGTTAGCCCATTGCCTCCTGCCCTGAGCCAAAGCCACTCTATCTTAATTCAAACGTGGGTGGGGAGAAGAGAATAATTTTCAAGCAGATTTTTGCGCAAGTTTGGAAATTCTGCATGGACACCTCTCCTGTACTTTCAGCAGGAAACCTCTCCATCTCTTGACAGCAAATGGACTTCAGTGAGGACCAGCTACCTGCCTGCTTTCCTCCAACTGCCTCTTGCCCAGGCAGACACAGGCCTGGATCACTGCTGTATCTACAGCTCCAGTGACAGCCTGAAGCCAAACTCCATCCAAACTGTTTTTTTGCAGGTCTGTGTCAACGCTATACATTTTATGCAAGTAAAGACATGACACCATGGCTAGGTATCATTCCTGACAGATGCCTGTTGAATAAACGAGTGGGATGAACACTACAGCCTTCAAAACATTTCTCTTCACTGAGAGCTGGAAGGAAGGTCCAGGTCTCAGAGAAGACTGACAAGCCATCTGGCTGATCCAGAAGCACAGCAGGTCTAGCAGACCCTCCACCAACCTCAGGGTGCTGATCTGCTTGCTGTGACCTACAGGGAAGGAGGAGGCAGGGGCAAATCCACCAGAAAGAAGGCCTCATACTCTCCTTAAATCACACATAAACCAATGACAAAAGCCATACGTGGGACTGAAGCTGTGTGTGAGTTTCAGATGACGACCTGCTATTCCACCAGCAGTGGTATCTCCAGCCTTACACCCTGACTGCCGGCAGCCAAGCACACAGCCCACTGCGCACACAGGAAGGGCACCTCCTCCCACGGCCTGGGGCCTCTTGCTTTGGAGAGGAGTTTGGGCTAATGAAACTTGGTGAAGGTCTCTGCAGCTCAGGGTGCAGTCCCTTCTGACTGCAATGTTCTGACTGCAAAGGTAGTTTCCAGACAGCACCATCTCTCGTGGACTCATCTGCAATGGTGGCAGATGTCCAAATGTGCAGGTGTCTGGACTGCTCGCCAGCCCAGACCTGTAAATAAGTTTGGAGGAATCTCTTCTGAATCCATTCTGCAGCTTTTAAACGTGGACTAGAATTAAACTAACATTTCATTCATGGACATAAAATCTTAAACTAGTCCTGGAGGGGACCAAACACCTGCCCTGATCTTTTTTTGGGTTTTTTTCCTTGTTGGGTTTTATTAATGCATCAAAGGCTTTTAGTGTTACATTTGGCAAGTAAACACCTTGGAAGGCAGCCAGCTTAACCACCTTCAGAGGGAAGGAAAATAAATTTAGATTTCAGAGGAAGTAGTTCCACTTTGACCTTGAACAAAACCTGCTCAGACTAATAAGGCAAAAAAACCAAACAAAAAACCCCCCAAAAAGCACAAGTTGCAAGGAGTCTCGGCCAGTAAGATCCCTTGGGCTGGCCCAGTCTTTCCACCCGTACTGTGTGCATGCAGGTTGCTTGTGACAAACACGAGCTCCAGTAACGTACCTTGCCTATTTCACTCTGCAGCTTGTACTGGTTTAATTGCACGCAGTCCTGCAGGTGAAAAGGAGAACATAATTAGAGTATTGGTAAAAGGAAATGGCTGAGTTTAAATCAGTATCAAGTAGAGGCAGAGTGCTGAATAATGAAAGACTAAATCTTATTTAAACTAGCACATGTCACACTATAAGCACTGGGTTTTTTTGGGTTGTTTTTTTTTTTGACAGCCCAGGGCTAAGCAGTTACGGACTTAATTCTGACACTGGTTGTGCTGGCGTAACACTAGAGGCCCCTCCACCCCAATTCTCCAGCACTGCTCCAGGTGATCCTGACAGCAGCCCCTGGCCTCTTTACATACACTGTCTGCATCGGTCCGTGTTCAATGCCAAGCAGAAAACCACCTGTCCCACCTCCACAAGACTCTCATGGCCTGGCAGCTGCCAGCACCCAAGCACCCACGCCTGTCCCAGGGCCACAGCATGAGCCCATACCCATCCCAACATCAGCCTGGCAAGGACAGACCCCCCCCGCTGTGGGCAATGTGTGAAGGCTGGGGCTGCACCCAGAAGAACTCTCACCTGGACCGCAGGCTGCTCTGAGGAGAGCACATGGAGCCAAGCTCCTTTGCAATGCAACACAAACAGTATCAATTCCCTTCAGCCGATACAGTATTTGCCAAAATAAGTCACCCTTAAGCAGGCCTGATCTCTGTTTGCAAGCTATCCAGCACTGAAACCCCAGGTTTCAGTGGAGGGACGGTGGATGCAGACCCCTGTCAAGCTATGACGGGGTGTAATGACGGGGTGCTGAGTTACTCGACAGACCAGGAGCCACACGGGGAGTGACAGTGGCCCCAGGTGTCAACCGCTGGAAGGCAAGGTAGAACAGAGGAGCCGTGCAGTCATCTGATTTCTTTTAGTATCATACTACCTAACAGAAAACACTTTCTTTCACAGCAGCAGCAAAACCTCCATGGCTGCATTTCACTTGGAGCTGACCCCTCCACCCTCATTAATTACAAGATGAAAATCCCAGATGCCACAGAAGCCTGGGGGGCTCAAGACCACGAGCGCAGGGTGAGCACCGTGCACTGCCTGCACCGAGCTCTCCCTGCGGCTGCCCGGGAGCACCCTGGGGACCTGCCCAGCTTGGCCATTGCAACGGGGTCCACAGGAGGACAGCACGCACTTCGCATCAACGCAAAGCTCCTGGCAAAGAGTCAGAGTGCTCTTGTGGGGAATCTCTGCAGTGCTGGCACCAGGGAGTGCAGGCTGCAGTGGCTTTTGCCTTGGTCCTGACTTAACAGACAGCACTTAACTGCATTGCAGGGGAGAGGACAGCCCCAAACTCGGTGGGGTGAGGGAAGGGGGTAGTTTCCAACCACGGCACATGGTGTGGGCTGAGCCTTAGACAGGACGCGCTTCCCCAGACAGCATTTTAAAAACACAGTACTTCTCCCGGAGATTGCCAAGCACTAAAGCTTGCTGAAAATTCACTTCCAACCTCTGCACCGGGCACTTCTTTGGGAACAAAGCTGATATAAAACATGCAGGCAGGTAGATTAGCCTTTCCATAAACCTCAAAATAGCCTGCAATCTACAGCAGCAGTGCCAGGACTGCAAAGCGGTGCCAGATGCCTTCAGTCCGTTTGTAAGAGCAGGGGGTGTTATGGCCCTGTCCCTGTGCAGCATCCTCAATGAAAGCAACACTCCGCTGCCTCTCAGGATGCATTAGAGCACGGATGTGGTAGATGATAATTTTGACTTTTCCCCATCACCAACCAGAAAACACACCTAATGCAAGCAATCATCACAGTGAAGGAGAATAAAGGAATGGGGAACTGATGACTTTTTAAGCTTGCAAGCAGTGGCTTGTCAGGAATACAAGGAATGATTTAAATCTTGATCTTGTTTCCAGTGAAGGAAGATTTTTCCACCACCCTGACAGGGAGGAAGAGCCAACCTTGAGTAATGGGGCCATAGATGTGTATTAACTCTGCTGCTAGCAAAGCACATGTCGTTCCAAAGGCAAAAACCAATCCATCAGAACTAGGAGTAACAAGAGAGGAGAGAGCATGACCCAGCAAAAGCCAAAATGCAAAGCATAAGGCCACTGAAACATATGAAAAAGAAAAATCCCACTGAATTTTGAAGAAAGGACTCTCCTCCCCAAAGGAGGGGGCAGCACGCAGGAACCCAGGGTATGGACACGCCGAGGACAAATTCCCCTGAAAGCCCCTTGTCAGCAGATTCACTTCCCAGCACGAGGCTGTGCTTTGCATCGCGGTGATTTTCACAAATTAAGCAGGAACAGTTTTCTGTTGATGGCTCCTGCCCTGGGTTTCCCTGAGCTCAGCTTCACACCCCTTGCCTTGTCCTGCACAAAACTGCAGTGCTGCTCATGAGAGTGGTTGAGACAAGCAAGAAAAGCAACCATCCCTCTGAGAAAGCCTCCAACCACCTCAGTATCTCCTGCTCTTCAAATCAGCAAGCTTGCAATGCCCAGGTCCTGTTAACAGGCCTCCTCCCCCAAGTAGGGATTACTCGCACAAGTAAAGACAGGCTTTTACATGTGGCCATATACTCTTTGGTCTGCACTCGGTATCTTGTTTCAAGCCAAGGTGGCATCTCTAAAGCACAGAGTTTGCTGTTTCTCTTTATTTGTGAGACACACTGTCCAGGGAGCCACAGTGGCATTTTTTCCCCTCCCACCTGAAGGAGCAGAGTCCTTCATGCAGTACCTAATCCATCCAGCTGTGCAAACTCCCTTACAGAGCACTAATATTTTCTGGCACCCAAGGAGGGACTACGCCTGCTCCTTGTGTCCAAGGTACCAATTCCTTTGACCATCACCTTCCCACCATCCCTCTTACCTCTGTCTAGAAATTACCACTTTCATCCCATACCAGACCAATCTCACCTGAAGCATCTCTCTGGTCTTCGCCTGTTGTTAAATGGAGCTTGCGAGCAATGCCAGGACACCTGCCTTTGGGTGATGGTTTTTCAAAAGGGATGGATAAATACCAGAATGGGAACACCCAGAGAGGGTCTGAGGGTGATGACAGAGTCTGGGCTCCAGGTCTGCAGCACAGCCTCCAAGAGTTTCTGCTCACTATCACCGCATCCCTACCCGATGTACACATCTATTGCTCTCCACTCAGGTAATTACCGGTAAGAGGCACTATCGTAGCTTCTGCAGTGCTTTGAGCACTTGAGCTGAACGCAGCAAAAGTCAAACCAGATTATAGGTGCTTTCTACCTTTTTTTTTCCTTGCAGAAGGACCATAATTCACAGCTCAGGTGACTCCTGCCACTTGTCGTTGCAGACTGACAGGGTTGCTACGTTATTATTTGGTTCTCCTGGAGGAAGTGGGATAATTGTACTATTGCTTTATCAGAGAAAAACAGCTATCTTTGGGCCAAGTGTTTCTTAAAGATAACATTGTACAATCCTCTTGATTTCATCATGCCAATGTATTTGCAATTGCTGATAAATACGAACAGAACAAGAACCTTAATGAGCTCCTTTAATGAAAAGCTGTCAGCAAATTAGACTGCTGGGTCCATCCAAGCGTGCAGTAATTGTTCCACCTTAAAAAACAAGATGCCCCATTTGTTAACATGTCCAAGGTACTACTCAAGAGAGGGGCAGGCGGAATAAATGCCACAGTCTGCAAAAATTGATCAAAGATCATAAAGCACAGGCCCATAAATCCACTGTCGCCACCGCTGTGTGACAGAAACCCTGAGAAATTGAGAGTTGAGCCTTTGCTATCCAGGGGGAACAATGGGATGGGAAGAGAAGACAGACATTTCTGAAAACAATCAGACTGCCTACATACATTCGTATATAATGGAGAATTTTGCCCCTAAAAGAAGCCAAGTTCACCAATCTGAAAAGAATTATAAGTTTCAGCAATTCAGAGATACACTTTAAAGAGAAGCATGGGAAAGAAAATTGGGAACTAAAAGCCAGTAATGAAGACAACACTGGTTTAAACTCATCCTGTCTGGAAAAAGAAGTAAAAGCAGTTCTAAAAACAGACAAAATGAAAATAAAAGCCAGAAAAGGAGTATTAGGGGCAGCAAAGTTGTCCAGAGATAGAACACACAGGAAGCCCAGAGTTCATGGAGGTAAGAAAAATAGACAGATTTTTAAACATCATCCTAAACCAAGTGCACAACTGGAAGCCCAGCACCACTACTGTCTGCTGGCAGGAGCACAGGCCATGGCTGGGCAGAAAGTGCAACACTGAGGCTCAGCACTGCTGTCTGGGCTCACCCACCCGAGACCCCGAAGCTGGATGCAGGAGCTCAGGCACCCACCAGGTCCCTGGGGTATCATTTGGAAAGTGGCTAGAAGAATAAATGGGGCTGGGACCAGTGGGATGAAGGTGGCCCCGCTCCAGCCCCTCTGCAACTGCAGCTTTGGGCTTTCTCCTCCTCTCAAACCTTGCCCTTAGACAAGTTGGAAATGTAACTTTTATTTAAAGTTAATTAATCCAAGGAAAAGAAATTAGCAATGCCTGTGGGGGATTCTTCTTTGAAGAAATATTTTCCAAGTATCTTTGATCTTTTCAAGAGAGCTCTAGTTTGAGCACCACACTAAGATCTCTAGAAGAAATTAGTTTGGGGGACTCGTGGGGCTGGAAGGGGAAAGCTCTACAGCCCACACTGTGTAGGAGCTCGGTCCTCACCACTGCCCTGGTGCCACCTGGGTCTACCTTTGTGCACAGCAAGGAAATCACGACCTCGTGAAGAAAACGAGGCAGCTCCCAGAGACTGGAGGACCATGAGACCTGTATCAGCTCAGCACTGAAGTACTGCCTCTCACACCTCTTGACACCAGCTGCTTCAAACTAGTTGGCCAAACAAGCAAGAGGCCTATGATAAAGATGTGAGAAGCCAAGGAAAGAAAGGACAAAGAAACAATTTATTTTCCGTGCTGCTGGGGTAAGCTGTGGACATCAAGTGTAGGAAAACTCCCTTTGCAGCCCATGTTCCTCCCTGCATGCTCAGGCTAGCAGCAGCACCAAGAAAGGAAAACGCACCGGC